GGTCACTATGAGTCGGAATCTACTCGGCAGCACTTAACAACAATCCTAAATATAAAAAAGGAGGATCGCAAATATAAAGCACGCCCCAGGCCTCATATGAGAGCTTCAAAAGTACATGGAAAAATCCAATGAAAAGATAATGGAAATTTCCCTTGAACTTTTTGAGGCCCTCTCTTATCTTTACTCAACATGATAGTTCATTAAAAAAAAAAAAAAATCTATGAATAGGAAGGCAGGAAGTATTGGTAAAGGAAGAAATACATATCTCATTTTTTGTCAAATTTTGTAAGTTTACATTAAGCAAACTTTTTAAGGCAGAGCATTTGGCAATTACATACGCAAACTTAAAAAAAAAAAGTTCATACACTGACTCAGAAATTCTCCAAGATCAAATCCCCCCCTCCCCACAAAAAGGAGAAATCCAAAGATGTAAGCTTTTAAGATGTTCTTCACCACACTGTAACAGGAACAGCATGAAACAGCACAGATTACATTACACAGAGTAGGTGACTAAATTATTGTGTTTTCATAAGGATGGAATTTGATATACCCTTAAAAATCGTATTCATAATACATGGCATACAGTGGTAAACATGAGGAAATCCCTGCCCTCAAGGATATCACATTCAAGCACAGGAGACAATAACAAACTCAGAAATAATAATTTCAGATAATGACAGGTCTGTAACGAAATATGGAGTCCTGGTGTGGTGCTGTAGGATATGCACTGGACTACTAACCACAAGGTCAGCAGTGTAAACCTACCAGCTGCTTCTCAGTGTCGCTATGTGTTAGAACTGACTCAGTGGTACAATGAAGAAATAAAACAGGGTCAAAGCTTGGTCAGCAACTGTGCTCAGTACAAAGTTATCTTTGAGGGATGACATTGGAATAGAAATTTGAGTGTTCCAGGCAGAATGAACAATTTTAAGGGAATAAGCCTGACATGTTCAAGAACCACAAAAAGTCAGTGCAGCTGGAGGTGAATGATTTGGGGACAAAGAGTGAAGATGATCAAGTCTACGAATGGGAAAGGTTTGATCATCAAGCGCAGCACTGCCCAATACAGCAGCCCTTAGTCACTGTTGGCTATTGAACCCCAGCAGTGTAACTAGTGTGAGAGGTGCTGTATGTGAAGAACACACAACGGACTGTGTAAACAGTATGAAAAAAACTGAATAAAAGAGCCAATTAATAATTTCTTACGTCGCTGTTAAATGCTGTTGAGTTGATTCTGACTCATAGTGACCCTGTACAGGGTTTTCAACTGGTGAGTTTGACCTGCCAACCTTGTGTTTCACAGTCTAGTGCTGATCCTACAGTGCCACACCTAGAGTCCTTATATTGATTACATGTTGAAATAATATTTTGAGTTAAATGTTTCACCTGTTTCTCTCTTTTTTTTTAAAGAAATGTGGTTATCAAAAATTTTTTATTTACTTATGTGGCTCCCATTGGACATTTATTGGTCTACAGTATCAAAATCTACAGTACAAAGCTGGAATTTTATTATTTTGTGTATTGAAAAGCCACTGGAGGGAGATAGTCTAATTTACACATTTAAATGACTATGTGCCAAACGAGCAGCCAGAGTAGACTACAAAGGAAGAAAGATATCAGTTAGATGACTACTGGTCATTTTACCACCACCTACCTGTCAGTCAGTTTAGTGTGCCCCCGTATTCAAATACCAGTGGGCATCCATGTTGGATGTCCAGTCTGCTTACTTTGGGCATCAGGTGGGTGCAATCGCTAATGGAGGACACCATGTTTGATACAGAAGAGAGCTAGTGAAGGCCAAGGGGGACCAGAGGTGAGATGCACTGGTACAATGGCCACATCGATGGAGAGTTAGGCGGATGATGCAGGACTAAGGGAACCTTTAGTTTTAGTTCTGATGTATGTTAAGTGTTACAGTGCAAGTGTTGGAGTCTATCAGACAACAGCTATCTATTCATACCTAATATTGTTTGGAATTCAACTTAGAATTGTTTAGGATATGAAGAATATACACAGAAGGACCAGGAATATACTTGCCAAAATGTTAACAATGGTTATTTCTGCTGGTGTTATGAGTGACTTTTCTTTGAAACTTTCTATTCCTTTTGAAAGTTCGAAGAATAAAGTACATTAACCTTATAAACGAATAGTAAAAAATGAGTTTTAAAAAAATACAACCCAAACAAATCATCTGGTTATTTGTCTGAAGGCTACATATACTATAAAAAAATGAAGCCATCTTTACTCTCACCCTTTCAGGTACAAACAGGTTTTTCAAAATCAGACAAACTCCTATTACACCACACACTACCCGACAACTGAGGAAATACTACTACCTAAAGAAGAAATCAATAATTTTGAATTATGATGTTGGACAAGAATACTGAATGTCCCAGAAGAAGGAACAAATCTGTCTCAGAAGAAGTACACCAGAATGCACCTGAGAAATGAGGGTGGCCAAATTGCATGTCACATGCTCTGGACATGTTATCAGGAGGGAGCTGGAGGACTTCATGCTTGGTAGAGTCAGTGGAAAAGAAGACCCTCAATGAGATGGGCTGACATTGTGCTAGAAAAAATATTCTCAAACATAGCAACAATTGTGAGGACTGGGCAGTGTCTTTCTTATTCTATTGTACACCGGGTCACTATGAGTCTGAAACTGACTCCAGTGCATGATAAATAAATTAGATCGCTCTGAAGAAACGCCGTGGGGGCATTCCTAACAGAGGTTAAGAAAGTAAAAACTGTGTGGTTGGTATTTCACAGAATACCAACCCCATTTCTTTCTCTAAAAATGTTCCAAAGAACACATTTATTTTAACTCCACAGAAAAACACCTGACTGGTTGCATTACAGGTTCTTCCAAGTGATATGTGCTCCCTTAACTAAAGTTTGTGCGAAACTGATTAAGGAGAGTTTTAAGTAATTGGCCAGATATTAACAGTAGGGTGTAGGAGTGAAATAGAAAAGTGATCTATTTTGCACACAATCAAGGTTATGTTCTGTACGTACCACTTTTGCACTGAAAAGGAAACAAGTTGTGCCAGATATTTTATCACGTGATTTCAAAAGATTAATTATATATTGATTAACAGGGATCAATTTCTCATGGAAAAGCTGAACTAGGGACCAATCACTATGGCCGGTTTGATACTTCTACTTAAATATAAAAGAGAATCCAAATGTTTTCAGTGCAATTTACTTCTAGTATTTCAATCCAGTCTATGCTGGTTACCCAAAACATTTCTATTGTATTATAACGAAATTAAGTATTTAACCTAGGGAAATTCTAGCATTTGTACACCAAGAGCCAGAACTACATATGTTCATAGACAACAGTTCTTATTAGGGGAAAAGGAACAAAGAAAGAAAAACCCACAACCAATTTAGATGCCCACGATTTATGGCTTATTAACACAGCAATAACACTCAGTTACATACTGTTTTAGTTTATACACTGTTTGGGCACGCAAATACAATGTGGCTAAAAAAATTTTTTAAGGCGAGGAAATGATAAACACAAAATCCACTAAGCTATAAACATTACTTGAATGAGAAGCAACAGAGGCAAGAAATAAGCAGATACGTTTTGGCAAAAAGTTCCAGTAACTGGTTTGGGTCGAAGAGTCAAGAATTTTATTATGTTATGGTTTTATCCTATGTATTCCCTATCTTACATATTTCCTGGTTACATGGTGGGAGAGGGCTTGAAAGTGGCTTTACTGAAGGATGCTTGACATACAATCAACTGCACACATGTACTAAAGTATAAAATTTTCTAAGTTTTGACAAAGGAAAATTAATTGGTATTGCAATTAAGATGATAAATCCAACACTTCGTGAATTTTCCTCCTGTAGCATTGTCATCTCTGTCTGCTTTCAATATATTTTTAAGTTTAAAAGGAAATCCTGTTTGGGAAATTTAAATGTGCAAATTTTGCCCAAGAAAGCAAAATAAATAAATAAATAAAGTTCTCCCTACAGTCCTGAAGACTAACTCGGTTCACAAGCGCCCTCATCAGTGATATAATGACTACTAAACCCTACCCGTTTATGAAGATATCTTTACATAGAAAACTCAAATCCAGAGCTCTCTACTCTCATTCCCCAACCCTTCAGACGGCTCCCTTCTTACATGGCCACACTTGCAATCCACCAATTGTCGAAGTAAACTCCCAGGCCCTGACTTCCTCTCAACTTTCTCGGGGTGAAGGGAAATTCAAGTATTTTCAGAAGAGGTTAGCACCCTCTCACAAGATAATGTTCAAAGACTTCCAACACAATCTGCGTGTGTACTTCCTCAGCAACTTGTTTACGAAGCTAGACTAACATTTGCAACTACTGCTGCCAGAGAGCCGAGAAGAAACAAACAAGCAAGCAACCTCAAGAACGCCTGCGCAAACGCACCGGCGCCCCTGCGGTCCCAGGGCAGTTTGCCACGCGCCCCCCCACCCCCACGCCCCCGGCGGGCGTCGGAAAACCCGGCAGGTGGTAAACATTCCAAAAGGAACTGGGACTCGGAGAAGAGGGGCGGAGACGGGGCCGGCGGTGACAGGGACGCGCCGCAGGGTGGCCCGGGCCCCTCTGCCCCCCGCCCGCCAACTGTTGGGAAAGCAGTTAGGGCGGCAAGCGACGCCGGCCTCGCAGAGACCACCCGGGCGAGAAGCCGGCCCGGGACCGCGAGCGCCGGCGCGCGTTTCCGCAGAAGCTGAGGACGCCCGAGCCGGGCCGCCCGGGCCCCAGTCCCTGCCCCGGGGACCGGGAATCCCCTCGCTTCAACACAAACGCCCGGCCGAGGTCGCTGGCGGGCGGGCGAGCGAGCGAGCAACGGGCTCACCACCTGCTGCGCCCGCCGGCCGCTCTCAGCTTCCGGCTCGCCGGCGCCGGGAGGGGCCGGGGGCGGGCCTCGCCTGGGCTCGCCTCAGCCCGGTGGGGGAAGGGGTGAAGGGGGAGGGGCAGCACCGACCCGGCCGGACCCCACGAGCCGCACTCCTCACCTGGCGGCGGCTCTCTCCGCCTGACGCGCTGCCCGCCGCCGCCGGTCGCCGCCGGTGAATGGGGACAGGTGAGGCCGCCGAACCCCAGCTCGCTCCGGCCCCGCCGCCGCCGGCCCCTCCGTCCGCTGTTTATTAAACTTTTCTGTTTGGTTGTTCGTCCTGTGACGCGACCGCACACAGGAGCCCGGGATTGGCCGACGCCAGGCGCTGACGCCGCACCCACCCGCCCTCAACCTAATTATTACCGGCTCGGGTGGAGTCGCAAGCCGGAGGAGGCGGGGGGAGAGGCGGAGCTAAGGCTCGGAGAGTGCGGCGATTGGTTGGATCTCACGAGAAGAGGCGGGCGGAATGAGGAAGGAGCTCCTCCGCCCTCTTCGCCTTCATTATCCCTTTCCTTTGCCCTCCCTTAATGGCTTCTGGTGCCACGGTCTCTCTCCTGCCTACCACGACGGGAGGGCGTCCCGCGGAGAATGAAAAGGTCTGGCGATGTAGGTTTAAGTCCCTGTACAGGGAACGGCATGTATCTGACCCGGGATTAAAACACCAGAAATAGTTGACTTTCCACCTGCCAGTTGTGCAGGAGGGAATTGTGAACTGCTCTCTCCACATGCACCCCCGTGCCCATATCTTTGCATGCGCAAAGATAGGGCTCTGGGTGCGTATTCCAGTACTCTACGATGTTCTGAGTCAGGATTTCAAAAAAGAAGCGAGCCTAGAAGTACCGATGCACACGTGTGCAGCACACACATGCCCTTGTTCCAGCCTTTTCCTAGAGCGCGCGCGGGTCTCAGTTCTCAGCGGCGTGGTGCGGCCCCAGCTGCAGCGCTGGGGTCGGAAGTGATGGAGAGGATGGCTCCCCCAGGTTTCTTAGCTTTGGGGGTCACGTGCTGCACATGCAAGAAATTGGTGATACTTAGTTCAAGCTCATCCAGCCCTCCCGTGAGTGAGGGGACCGGATGGGGGAAGGACAGTAGGAAGATGAAGAAAGCCAGGAGGATCTTGTCTTTATTTTTAAATTTGATATTTTGTTCACCGTGCTCTCCCCGCCCCCTGCACTATATTTAAAATTTTAACATATAGTAAAAGGAGTCCTGGTGAGGCTCCGGAAGACAATACGCTGGGTCGCAAGGTCGGTTTGAGCCATAAGGTCAGCGGTTCAAATTCACCAGCTCCTTCTGGAAACTCTACACATGGTCACTATGGGTCAGAACCGACTCGACGACACTTAACATTTAGAAAAATACTACCTACCTTGGTGACTGTGCTTTTTGGAGAGCTCTTTTATGTTGTTCTTGAGATGAGTGCATCAGTCATCTCACCCTAGCTGTGTCCTGATTCATAGCTCAATTGAGAAGGAGGATTTTGACAAAGGTGAGCCTCTGAATAATACGTAGTTAATTATAGAAGGGAGTGCCTGGTTGGTGCAAATGGTAAATGCTGGACTACTAGCCAAAAGGTTAGAGGTTCAAACCCACCTAGAGGCTCATAGGGTCGCCAGGAGTTGTAATCAGTTGGATGGCAAGGAGGATGGGAGAGAGTAGCTTGTGGAACTGTGCTGGACACAGCCGGAAGCAAGGAGGAAGGGAAAATGTAATTCCGGTTTGAAGAAGAATGTGGTGTGTTGTGAGGTGTGTAGTTGTAGAGGTGATAAACATTCTTCAGGGGAATGGTAAGGAATGCAGTGGGTATAGTTGAGCCTAACGTAATAGGAGCAGGACAGCAACCAGCTGCAAGGTGCTTGGTCAGGGCCTGAAAGCATGCAAAATGCTTTTTAAAAAAATCCAATTCAATTAAAGCAAACACCGGGCTAAGCCCAACAAAAGAATTTTTTTCAAGGATATCATTTCTGCCAGTTTAGCAAGATCCTTTGCTGTGGGTTAGTCATTGGGCTGCTAACCACAAGGTCGGCAGTTCAAACCCACCCACCAGCCGTTCTGCAGGAGAAATGCAAGGCTGTCTGTTCCTAAAGATTTACAGTCTCAGAAACTCATAGAGTCACTGTGAGTTGGAACTAACTCCATGGCAATGGGTTTGGATTTTTGTATTACAGGCCTTGAATGCCAACTTACTTAGCTGGTCTTCTTTCCACGTGGTCTTTAACAGCTTGAAGTTTTCAGGTATACAAGGGATAAGAGTAGTCACACATTGTCACATCTGTCATATTCGCTTGATCATAACAGATCACAAAATGAATCTAGATTCAAGAGGTAGAGAACTATACTTTTTGAAGCTGACAAAGAATTTGTGGCCATCTTAATAAGGAGCTCTGGTAGCATAGTGGTTACGAATCAGGTTGTTAACCTCACGGTCAGCAGTTTGAAACTATCAGCTGTTCCACAGGAGAAAGATGAGGTTTTCTGCTCTAGTAAAGATTTACAGCCTCGGAAATCCTGTACAGGGTCGCTATTATGTATGGTACATAACAACAACAACAACAACATGTGTACGTATATATATATATATTTTTTTTAAACAAATCTCTTTAATGTTTAGCTTAATAGGAGTTAGTTTGATTCTCATATTTGCTTATGTAGCCAGTCTATTGAAATATCAACATGTCATGTAACCTCTGGAAAACTCCACATCATGAGAGACTAGTGGTGGGGAAAAAGACAAATAATGACTTAGTATTATTACCATAATATTACTAAGTCATTATTTACATTTGTTACTGAAAAGGGCACAATGGTGTCTCAGTGGTAGAATTCTTGCCAAGCTAAAAATGAGAATCCTGGTATGGTATTGTACGATAAGGGCTGGACTGCTAACTGTAAGGTCAGTAGTTCAAGCCCACCAGCTGCCCCTCAGAAACCCTATACAGGGTGGCTATGAGTCAAAACTGACTCCGCAGCACTTCACAACAAGCTGGAGACCCAGGTTCAAATTCTGGCCAGTGCACCTCATAGTTAGCACTGTCTGTCACTGGACACTTATCCAAAAGCCAGCAGTTAATGGTCCAGTCTCGTAGTACAAGGGGTCACCATGTCTCAGGGTTGACTTGATGGTAATGAACAAGAAACACAATTAGGAAGATAGTTTTAATCTCATAGAGCCACTGAAAATTTCTCAGGGACCCTGGAAAACAACTTGTGAACCATTGGTCCAAACCACCATCTTGATGACCTACCTGGTACTGTTGAGTTGATTCTGACTCACCGAGAGCCAGCTTATAGCACAAGATAGAACTGCCCAAAGGGTTTCCAAGGCTGCCTTTTTTATGGAAGCAGATAGCCACATTTTTCTCCTGTAGAATGGCTAGTGGGTTTGAACCACTAACTCGGTTAACAGCTGAGCATTCATGAACATGCTTCTGCCCATCTCCTATATTTCATTACCTATACATGACCTTCCCCTTGTGTACTTACTCCCTACCAAATGCACACTCATTTCCCAGCACCTAGGGTAAATTCCTAGTCCTTGCTGAAGGCTCTCCTGAGTTGAATCCTATGAGGAAATAAAGCATCCTCTCTTCTGTGTTTTCACACACTGTATGTCTCCTTCTATAATTGTACTTACCATATTAAAGTGAGATGTATCAGTCTGTACATTTACCTCCTCCTGAGTTATACCAGCAGATAGTTTTTCTGAAGTTTGATTTCTTATTTCATATGCGATGAGAATATAAACTGGTCCCTTTCCAAATCTCTGACCTATTAACAAAATTTATCAATTCTCTCTTGTGTGTTTTTTTTTCAAGGCATCTTTTATTATATATCACCTTTTTAAATATAATGGGAAGCTCTGGTGTGGCCGGATAAAGTACTGGACCCGCAAGCTCAGTTTGAACCACAAGATTGGTGATTCAAACTCACCAGCTGCTCCATGGAAACCCTGTACAGGGTCGTTATGCGTCTGAACTGACTCAACGGCACTTAACAACAACAACAACAACATACATAATGGATCCTGGACTTTTTTATCCCTTAGTCTTGTTATTCTCTTTGAGTAGTATACTTGTTTTTTTTCCAGACCCCTGATATTTTTATCACATTGCTGTATACTAGGTTTTAGTATCTACTAGAGCTTGACTTTCCACCATTCATTGCTCTTCATCAGAATTTTATTTGAAATTCTGATCTGTTTATGCCTCCAGGTTAGCTTTAGAGTAATTTTTTGTCAGTCTCCAAGAAATATCCTGCTAAGATTTTAATTGGAATTGCATATGCCTACAACAATTTGGGGCAGCAGAGACAAGAATTTGCATCTTCACAGTATTTGAATGGTTCACCAAGAAATCTGTTGGGCTTTTTCATTTATACAGATTTAAAAAACAAAACAAACTCTCAAACACAGTATTTCTAAAGTCTAGGGTGGATTCAAGCTTGTCCAGCCCTCCAAGACAAGGTGGAAAGACAGGAATCTCCAAGGTTCCAATCTTTGTATCACCAATTATATTTTCTTGTTAATTGCCATTTCTAGGCCCTATTTATATCATAAGAAAAGGGTTAAGTATCTCCTGCTATTTCTCTGTGTTGTTCCTTGATAAGTTTTTCCAAAGTTGTCAAGAAATTCAAACCAGAGAACAGAAAGTGACATGTGTGTTTAAATCATTTGATTTAAAATAATGCAACTAATTTTAATTTTACTTTGCAAACCATTTTCCTGAATAAAAGTGTACTTGTTACTGAATTAAGGCAAGATCAAAGTACAAAGTACCTCTTAAGAATTTTATGATCACAACTGTGAGAAACGTTGTCAATACCCAGGTACTACCTCAGTTCTTCTTGGCAACTTGCGGGTCAGTAAAAACCCCTGAGTAGGCCTTTACCCCAGTGGATCTCCAGAGGGAGAACTGAGGCAGACCACCTTATCCCGTATGAGGTCACTGATGAGTTATCATGAGTGCTTACTGACAAAAACGCTCAAGAAATCCAATCTATACTCATGTTAGCAAGAGTGAGGCTTTTCCAGAGTCAGCGGTGTGGCCACAGAGGACTAGAGTGGAGAGTGAAGCTACCAGCTGATAGGAAGAGAGGGCATACGCACAAGAACACCCACACCTGCAGATGGTACCCACGTGACCTGGCCCCGATGAATGGATGATCAGAACTCAATGAGGATAAAAAAGAAGAGGAAAAAAAAAAAAATAGAGTGATCTGATACAATTTGATGACCTTGACCTACACCTATGGATGCAGGACCCAAAAGAGGGAACAAATCCTTACAGCAAGAAACATTCCCACCCCCTCCACACACAGAGTAGATAGAGATGGGCAACTTGGACATTGGATACCCAAATGTGG